GACCCACGTCGGTACTCAACCAATTGAGGGGGAGATTGAAAACCTGGACCCAAATCTGGAGTTCTTGGAAGACTGAATGCTTACTAGAGAGACCTGTCTGCCAACGAGAAAGGATAAGATATTGATTATCAATGCTCCAGTTGTTTCCTTTGGCTACTCTCTCCATATCTTCCTTGCATTCGAAAATGAATTGGAAATAATTGTGCTCCAGTTCTTTGACTTCCATCTGTTTTTGAAGCTTCCAAATGAAACCCATGGCTCGCTTAACTCCAATCCAGCTCGCTTTCCGGTCATCGATTACTTTCCCAAAAAGACAGCGCTGGCATTCTTCGTCACTGAGCTTGATATCTTCATTTCTTATATCCACAATCGAGTCTTCTCTGCCTGAGAGGGAAAAGTTTTCCAATTTCTGCAGGATTTCATCATCCTTTTCTTTGCTAGAATGGGGGTTCATAATGAATTAGGGTTTATAGAGCAACTGGAAAAGGAGAACGCTCGAAAGGCTACAATAAGGGAGGAAATCCCCAACTGCACCAGAGGAGATACAAGATCAAAACAAGGATCCGAAAGATGGTGGAAGAAATCGAACTACAATCGCTCTCCAAGAGAGAATACAATCGCTCTCCAAGAGAGAATTCTAAATTAATCTATGCAAGTACAATAATTAATTAACATGATAAATAAATAATTAATGGCATAATTAATTTTAATAAATAAATAAATAAATATATTATTATGGCCATTAAATATTGAGTTCCCATAAACAAGGAAACCTTGTATATTCTTTCCCTGTTCAACTGGAACTCCCACTGCAATAGAATCCTTGTAGATCTTGTACTGCTTGGACACCAAGTAAACCTCTCCACCGCTGTCAGCCCGCCGTCGCCGCCGCCCGGTCGCCGGTGGTCGGAATTTTTTTGTTCTCGCGCGTGTCCGTGCGCGCCTCCGGGCTTCGTTCCGGTTGGTGTTTCGAGACTCGTTGATCTCTTGTGATCTCCCGACAATTAATCCACGATCACAACACGAAAAAAATAATTTACAAAATTACATAATTCGATCCTAGACCCAACGAATGGATGTACATATTTTCTAAACAAAATCATTAAATCTATCCGGTCAACCCCGGGCGAATAATTATTACAAACATTCATCCATCAAATTCCTCAACATGTCCGAGGCTTTAATAACAAATTTAAAACCATACATCACATTCATCAACATTCATCAAACACATAATCGGCCATAATATGGATTAAACTAATTCCTGCAAAACCGAGTTATGCGAATATAATCCAATATATGGGTGCATTTGAACACATCTTGACAAATAAAGCCGTAAAAATTTGAACTTGTACAAAACGAATTAAACCAAGCTCTGATACCACTTGTTGGAATCAATGAAGATCTCGTTATGCACAAATCACGAATTCAATAGCAAAACGTAAACCTATGCGCAGCGGATCTAAAGGTTTGCGTAGAGAACTTACAGCTTAAAATTTATGGCGATCTGACTGATCTTCTGGATGGCCGTACACAACACACCAATGAAAAGTAGACTGCAAATTGCAACCTAGGGTTGCACGAACAAGATCGGATCGAAAATCGGATCAAACGGGTGCAAAAATGGAAGAAGACAAATTGCAGTCTTGGGACACTCCGGCGGCGCGTGAGGGTGCGTGAGGCATCGTACGACAGTGATCTCAGTGGAGTTGGAAAGTTCTCGTAGAGACGGTCGTTTGAGTATGCTGCACATCTTGATCGGACCTCTGGTTAGTTCTGTACGACCAAATATATTTCGTCTCACTTTACCCAAAGGTCTTCTACTGTATATCTCAAACACCTCTTAATCTTGTACCAGTGGAACAACAAGAAGAAGATAAAGCTCAAATGGGAACTGAGACAGAGAAGAGAGACGTGGGGCGTGTTTCACAAGATTTGGAATTCTCTTCTCTTCCCATGAGCTAAATGATATATATATATAGAGAGAGAGAGAGAGAGAGCTACAGTAGGGATCCTTAGGAGATTAGGATTATGGCTTCTTAATTACTTAAAATACTTGTGGACCAAGCCATTTATTTTAATTAATTAAAAAATATTAAATGGGTCACCAACATAATATTATTGCACTCTCTTTTTCTAGCCCAATTTACAATTGAGACTCCAATAATAATTACTCGATTTATCTCCCCATGTTTAAGATATAATGTCCATTAATTAATTTGATTAGTGACAATCAAGAATTAATTAATTAATTATTATTTCACCGAAGCTAACGCTCGTTCATCACATTATTACTATGCCGGAATTTAATCCACCTGCAGGGTTTAGCATAATAATCCTTCATGAACTCACTCCGGGGACATCATCAAACTAACGCACATGGTGACCGTAAATATCCTAACAGCACATCTTACATGTAACATCTATTGGCCCAGTTCACTAAGCCTCACCCATGCGAATCAAAGTAATATATACTACAGATATATGTCTGTTTAATATCTTACGGGTTAAGAGTACGCAGTAATTAACCGAGGCCTAGTTCGTTTAAGATGACCAGTATAAAACGAACTGCTCCTCTCGGGGATCCTGTTCAATACATAAATGTACTAGTGCAACTAATCAGTCAAGACAAACTGTACAGTTGACACTACAACCTTTCGCGATGGGGTGTTCATGTCCATCTGGGTTGTGAACCACTTATTCGTGTTTCACGAGTAACTGATAGCATGATCTTCGGTTCGCCCGATGACGACCCATACTATCTAATGCAAAACAACAACGTAGAACTTGTTTAATCTAACATGTTTTTCATTCATAAAGGGTAAAAGTGTAATATCATCCAAAGTCGAGCTTTCAGTATATAACACTAACAGAAACCAGGGTCCAGGCAAAGGATCCGGCCTCCCTGTCTGATGGTCGACCCGCGACCGCAAAGGTAAAACAACGAAGCAAGCAGTCTAGTGTTGAAGTAAGTTCAGTGAAAAGTTCGGTTATCCTATCATGGAGGAGCCGATCAAGAATTAGCGAGAACCGACTTTTGGCAGTACATTTAATGCAGATAAGACACATGTTCTTGTCGACAGGTGATCATTAGGTGCGGGATCCACTCTGCAGAGCTGCACATCGTCGTCAGATCACATTAAATGGCAACGTGCTAGCATCGTGAACCTTGCCCATAGGTTTTACCTTATATATACCTCTCATTTATTGTAATAAAGCACATTCGATGACTTTGTTATGTAAAATCTAGGTCATCCGAACTCATTTGATACTTATTATATTTTACTTATGGAGTTCATCTTAACCGTTGGCGCGTATATCGCATATCAACAGTTATATTATAGAGGATGACTACAGTCCCGTTATAGGACTATTCTCTCAGTGCTTTTAAACGTTGGATACACAAGTAGATTATGTAGTTTAAATAATCTACGGTAAAAAGCACTGACGGAATCATCATGTAACGGAACTGTAGTCAATTCCTATATTATATCGTTTTACATTAAAATTTATGATTAATTTTCTTTTTCTATTTAATTAATTAAAAAAACTTCACTCAAATGAAGAGCACTTTTACAATTTTATTAACTGGATTGCAAAATACCGTCCCGTTTTACTACTTACTGCCCCTTGGACAGTTTTTCCCCTAACATTTTTTCTAAAAAGTAGCCGGAGAAACCGGCCGTAACCGTGCACGGCCGCAATCGCCAGTTGGACGCCGTGCACGACCGGCGGAGCAATTTTTTTCTTTTTAGTAATCAAATATATATTTATTATATAAATTATATAAATTATAATTTAAATTTATAACATAAGTTATAAAAATTAGTTATAAATAAAAATTATTTTTTTGTTATAATTTTTATAACAAATTATAAATTATAAATTTTTATTCGAAAAAACTAATTAATAACTTAATAAACTATAAACACTATATAAATTATAAAATAACAAAAATTATAATTTTTTATAAAAATTATAAAACTAAATAAATTACACAATTAAATATACTAATTAAAAATATAAAATTTTATTTGTGATAAATTTATAACAACAATTTTTATTTGTTATAATTTTAATTTATAAAATAAACTAAATATAAATCAAAATTATAAATTTTATAATCCCCCCATATATAATTCTCCATGTGCTGAGCCTACATGGCTGCTTTCGGTGCTTCAGAATCCTACTTGGTAAATAATCATGCTTCGTAATTAGGTTTGAACAAATAATATTGAAATATTAAAAATTAATAAAATTAATAATTTAGGTTCGAACATTCCATAAATATTATTGATGTAACTTAAGTAATTTAATAACACTTGTATTAATATAACCTTTTTATTCTTTCTAATCTTACATAAATTTTTTCACCATCCCTCTCACTTTCCATAAAATTCTTTATAATAAATAGAATTCTTTTTAATTCTTTTAAAAAGGTAATCTTACATAAAAATATTATAATTCCTAAATCGAACTAATAATGGGAATAATTGTAAATCGACTAATAATGGGAATATTGTAAAATGGGAATATTCTAAATCGAACTAATAACGTTGTATACATATAAGTTTTTCAAAATTTAAAATAATATTATAATTTCTATTGTTATTTATTATTTATTTTTATCTTTATTTTTTATATTATTATCTAAATTAGTGTAATTCTTCTTTTGTGAAATATAATTTCTTTTAATCACTACACGTGTGTGGTACTAATTTATATAATAAATAAAGATTTGATTATTATAAAAATAAAAAATTCCGCTGTTTTGCCGACAAAATGGGACGTGCATGGTGCGTCCTACCGGTGAAACTGGACGTGCACGTTTTACACATTAGACTTTACCATTATTAACTCAAAACACCACACGACAGCGCAACCCGCTTTGAAAAGTTTACCATTATCTGCATACTGACAATACTCATGTGATAATTTCAGACGAAAAAAAAAAAAA